TGTGGGAAGGCAGGCGGGCCTCCCTGGCAGGGCGGGGACTCCGGGCCTTGCCGCTGTCTGCGTGAGGTATTGACGAGAGCGGGAGACTGCTCGGCTCCAACAGACTGAACTCTGTCTTTACTGTCTTTCAGATGGCAGCAGTGACAATGGGCTTTGGAGATCCTCTCTCACCTTTGCAATCGGTCAATAGAAATGCTCACTTCTTCTGGGGCTCATGTCCTTAGTCAGGGCTAGAGGGGGGCAGTGCAGCCCACTGCTGGGGACCTTGCTCCCCTGGCTGGCCCTGCCCGCCAGCTCTGGAAGAGCACAGCAGAGCATGGCGGGGCCAGTGGTGTGGGCACTCACCCCAGGACCGCCCCTGGGGAGGCCTCCATCTGCTCTGAGGGCCCACCTTAAAACTAACCGGCCAGGTAACTGCGGAGGGCAGCCGCGGCAGCCAGCCAGGGAGGGTAGCTGCCAAGCCAGGCTCATCTGCGCCTTGCCACCCCATGTGGTGGACCCACCTGTGGCCTCCAGCTCCGACAGTCTCCAGGCTGCCCGGGCTCTTGGGTTGGGGTCAGGCCCCTGAGAAGAGAGGGGTCCTAATTTGTGGCCCCATCAGACTTTGGAGGGAGGACGGATGGATGGGGTGGGGGCTGGGGGGACCCAAGTGAGCAAGAGAGGGAAGGGCAGCCAAAAACTTGGGTGACAGACCTAGCCACCAGCAAGGAGTAGAGGTCATGTGGCCATGGCTGTAGTGAGCAGAGGAGTCTGGAAAGGAGATTATTTGCCCTTGCCCAGAGGCAAGTTGAGGCAGCTAGGCCCTATCCTGGGGAGATCCTGAGGAGGAGGTGTGGCCTTCTCTGGGGGCATCCACTTTGGAAGGACTATCCCTGGACAGGTTGCCCTCATATTTGAGACATTCTTAGTGTCCTCTCTGGGGAGCATCTGTCTAAAAGAAAGCTGTTGACCCTCTGAGGAGACCTGAGCTATGGGAGATATGGTCAGAGGCCTGTAATTAGGTAGCCTCACCTCAAAGGGAAGACTGGCCCTCTCTTGGGGAACTGTGACCTGAAGGACAAACATGGCTTCATGTCTATGAGGGGCTTGGAGAAGGGGTGGCTCTGCTCTTGGGGCCCTTGGTCTGAGTAGGAGCCCAAGGCCTGTTGGGAGCCAGTTTGAGGGAACATCCCCATATTCAGAGAATTCAAAATATAAGGGAAGATAGGCCCCACCTGGGTGAGTCCTGGGTTGAGGGAATGTCCTCTCTGAGGGAGGCTAGGCTATCCTAGGCCTGCTAATGTCTGAAGTAAACTGGTCTCTGGCTACTGGGACCTTTGTTAGGGTGAGAGGAGCCCTTGTTTGTGTTAAGGATGGCCCATGGGGCCCTTCCTGTGGCCCACCGCATGTGGCCTTAGAACTCCCTGCCTGGCACATCTTCTCTGAGGTGTCAGAAGGAGCCTTTCCCAGAGTTACATGAGGAGGCCCAGCTCACTGCCCATCCTGCCAGCTTCCCAGCCCCAAGGATCCCTGAGGCTTCTCTGTTGGGTTCTCTGCTGCTTCATGATGCTCTTACCCGAGCCAGCTCTTGTGGCTAGTCATGTGCTCAAGCAGCTCTTTTTTTTGTGGGAGGTATTGGGCTGGGGAGAGTGCAGAGCACACTGAGTCCCCACCTAAGTCTCCCCGCATGAGCAGCTTGCTACTTGTTCTCTCCAGAGAGCCCCATCTGGGCTCCCGAACTCCTTCCCTGGGATCTCTTCTGGGCAATGGCTGCCCTGTCTTCTGCCACCCTCTCTTCTGGCCTCCATGCCAGTAGTCCCTCTGGCTTGCACAGCTCCTCCTTCCCTCTTCTGTCCCAGTACTTGGCTGGGTTAATGGGAGGATCTCCCAGCCCAGCCCAGGATACCTGGCCCTCAGACTGGAGGAGTGGGCGGGTGGTAGGGCATTCAGCCTTGCCTCCTGATCACCTGTCAGTGCTGCTGCCACAGTCTGCCTGGTACCTGGGTGGGCTGGGTACTTCCATGTCCTGCTGTTGGGCCTGGCCTTCCTTGGGGCGGGGTCCTGCTGAACCCTATGCCCTGGCTGCAAGGGCCTAACCTGGACCTCAATGCTGCGTGGGGAGCCCTTCCCACAGCAGAGTTGGGCAGGTGGGCCAGGAAGGGAGAGGGCTTTTGAGTCTCCTGCCTCCCTGACAAGCCAGTGGCTCTCTCCTTCTGTCCTGCTGTAGATGGCAGCTCAGCGGCAGCGGGCACTGGCTATCATGTGCCGGGTCTATGTGGGTTCCATCTACTACGAGCTGGGAGAAGACACCATTCGCCAGGCCTTTGCTCCCTTCGGTCCCATCAAGAGCATTGATATGTCCTGGGACTCCGTCACCATGAAGCACAAGGTGAGCAGGTTGGAGCTGCCCACAAGCCCTGGCTTGCCCTTCCTCTCTGCTCTCTTAGCCTGATAGCACCTCCTTGTATTTAGGGCTTTGCTTTCGTGGAGTATGAGGTTCCAGAAGCTGCACAGCTGGCCTTGGAGCAGATGAACTCAGTGATGCTTGGGGGCAGGAACATCAAGGTAAGGGTGAGGGAGTTTGGATTTGGGCCTTGAGCTGAGAGTCCACGGAGTGCTCTATGGAGTCACTCAGACATACAGAGCAGCCGCACAGATGCCTAGGCTGATGATGAGCTTTGTTTTCTACCTCTTCTTCAGGTGGGCAGGCCCAGCAACATAGGGCAGGCCCAACCCATCATAGACCAGCTAGCCGAAGAGGCTCGGGCTTTCAACCGCATCTATGTGGCCTCTGTACACCAGGACCTCTCAGACGATGACATCAAGAGTGTGTTTGAAGCATTTGGCAAGATCAAGTCTTGTACACTGGCCCGGGACCCCACAACTGGCAAGCACAAGGGCTATGGCTTCATCGGTGAGTTCTGGGAGGGTCAAGGCGGGAAGGGGGTCCACATGGCGCCGGGGCTGGCCCTCCTCACTGCTCATCCTGCCCCGCAGAGTATGAGAAAGCCCAGTCGTCCCAAGATGCTGTGTCTTCCATGAACCTCTTTGATCTGGGTGGCCAGTACTTGCGGGTGGGCAAGGCCGTCACACCCCCCATGCCTCTGCTAACGCCTGCCACACCTGGAGGCCTTCCCCCTGCTGCAGCTGTTGCTGCAGCTGCAGCCACAGCCAAGATTACTGCACAGGTAAGAACTGGTATAGTGGTATGGGCTTGACCGTGGGTGAACAGGCCCACTGATCCTTTGGGAACTGCCCAGACCAGCCACTGTGATTGCTTTTTGGGTTGCAGGAAGCAGTTGCTGGAGCAGCAGTGCTGGGTACCTTAGCCACACCTGGACTGGTATCTCCAGCGCTGACACTGGCTCAGCCCCTAGGAGCTCTACCCCAGGCTGTCATGGCTGCCCAGGCACCTGGAGTCATCACAGGTGAGTGTGAGTAGGCCAAGGCTCCCCTCCATTCCTGTTCCCTTACCTTCAGGCTGTCTTCAGCTTCCTAACCCACACTTGGCTTGGGTGGGATCCTTTAAGTCCAGGGCAGGTTGGCTCTGAGAAGGGCTGGTAGGGAGTGTGTGTGTGACCCTTGGGCCTTGTTCTGCTGCAGGTGTGACCCCAGCCCGTCCTCCCATTCCGGTCACCATTCCCTCTGTGGGAGTAGTGAACCCCATCCTAGCCAGCCCTCCCACACTGGGTCTCTTGGAGCCCAAGAAGGAGAAGGAAGAGGAAGAGCTGTTTCCTGAGTCAGAGCGGCCAGAGATGTTGAGTGAACAGGAGCACATGAGCATCTCTGGCAGCAGTGCCCGCCACATGGTCATGCAGAAGCTGCTCCGAAAGCAGGAGGTCCGTGGCCAGTGCTCCTGGGGGCAGAGGGGTGTGGTGTGGTCTGGGTAGGCCATGGCACAAAGTGCTTTCTTCCCCACAGTCCACAGTGATGGTTCTCCGCAACATGGTGGACCCCAAGGACATCGATGATGACCTGGAGGGGGAGGTGACAGAGGAGTGTGGCAAGTTTGGTGCTGTGAACCGGGTCATCATTTACCAAGAGAAGCAGGGTGAGGAGGAAGACGCAGAGATCATCGTCAAGATCTTTGTGGAGTTTTCCATGGCCTCAGAGACTCACAAGGCCATCCAGGCCCTCAATGGGCGCTGGTTCGCTGGCCGCAAGGTGGTGGCTGAGGTGTACGACCAGGAGCGCTTCGATAACAGCGACCTCTCCGCGTGACCTTGGCCCCAGTCCCTGGACTTGCACTTGTTCCTTGTCTCCTTGGGTTGTATGGAGTGATAACAGTCTGTCCCTGGGACCGGACACTCCGTCCAGCCCAGCCTGTAGTGTGCATAAAGAGCAGATGCTGCTGGCCCCAAAACCCGTGTCCGAAGTCAGTCCCTTGAAGGCTCTATGCTACCCCTGCTCTTCTGGGATAGGCGGCCAGGGAGCTCGAGGGTCCTAGTATGCGCAGCCGCGGAGGAGCCTTGGCTCTGGGGTGGACGTGCTGCTCCGTGAGTTCCTAAGGTGCTCTGGGGTCAGGACGTGTAGAGCCCAGGACCCAGAGCGGGTACCAAATGCGGCGCCCCCCCCCGCAGGGGGCGGGGCTTACGTTATTACCGGTCCCGTGATGTCGCGCGCTTGAACGGGCCGGAACTCCCGGCAAGCTGTTCGCGCGATCACTACGGGTCGCTAGAGGCGCTGTGCCGCGTGGCCTGCTGGGAGCTGCAGTTCTGGGCGGTGAGGGCGGGCCTAGGCTTCCCGGCGGGCTGCGCGGCTGGGCGGTCGTCGCGGGCTGCGGCGGCTGTTCCGGCTCCGGACGGACGAACTGCAAGCGGAGCAGGCCGGGCAGGATGCGGAGCCGTCGCCGCGCCGCCGCCTGAGAAGCGGAGCCGCCGGCCGAGCGA